TAGATGTGAAGATTAACAAAATCGTTTTTTCTCGTTTTCTCCCATCATGTGGCACTCGAAGGTTGTCCTAGGATGGCAAGGGTGAAGAGGGTGTCATCAAGTGTGATATAATTAGAGGGATAACCAGGTGTGTGGTGGACAGCTTCTTTATTTCCTGTGTGGAGAGCAAGGCAAGTGACGCTGCCTAGGCCTATTGTTTGTCAGGAGAGCTAAGTTTAGAAGCAGACGTGTTTTTTAAATTAATACGCACTTTCTTTTGATGTCGAATCGAATGTGACTAGGGGAATTACATTCATTCTTTGATGATGCGTAGGGTCAATGTTTAATTATATAAAGGTATCAGGTATATGATAAAATAATATGCATATGCATCCCTTGTTGTTGCTTGAATGTGGGTTTATTTCGTCAGAGAAATTATTGGAAAAAATATGGTATTTGAGAAAGACATTTAAAAGGGTGTTGACTATAACTAGTTTACAGTGTGAAGAACTTACACAAAAGTAATGATAGTTATTGGGTAATTTATTCCTTCAATTGCAAATAGCATGAAAATGTGATTCTAAGTGCATTAGTTTTATTGAGTGTGAAATGCATTTTCTTTTGAATTTACAGGTAGATCATGGTGAGTTATCAGGAATATGGTCATGTGTATGTATCATTGTTGAATACTTATGTGCATGTTATCTTTAATGTCAGTTTCTCTGTTGAGTGTTTGTAATGTATATATGCAGTATTATTTTGATGTTTATTTATATACCTTTTTGTTATGAGAAATTGCAGAGCTCTGTTTATTTGATTCAGAATGGCAGAGATTGGATTATGATTTGATGTTTATTTAATTTTTTCACCTTTTAAAGCTAACAAAGAAGTTCCTATACATATGGAAATTTATATTGGTTATTTTGGTAGTTTTAACTTCATGCTTATAGAAAGTGTTGCTTAGAAACTTTCTGACTCGATGCTCCAAAATTAAAGGTGCAATGAATACCCAATTGTTTATATTAAGTTTGAACTGTTATTGGTCAGTTTTGAGGAGACTTTTGTGCCATCATTTCTTGTGGCAATTTGAATATCACACAATGCGTTATGATACAGTCCTGTGATCAGAGTTGAGACATGTTGCGAAGTTCTGCCCACTTCTGTTATGTCATGGGAATGGCCACGGTTGACGAGTAGCTATTTTACTGTGCTAGTTATTTTTCAGTTGATTCACAGTACTTTGGAATATTATGTCCTAGATAGCTTTTGATGTCTTATGTTGGGGTTTGTTGTGTTATAGATATTCAATATAAGTATGGATATGCATAAAAATTATTGAGGGATGAGGAATGTATCTGGCAACTTGATAGATGTTTACCACCTGCCCAATTCCTGTCACGCAAGGTGTCACTTTTGCCACTGGAAAAGACAGCATTGAATTCTGCCAATGTGTGTTGTGCTGATCGGCACAGCCTCCATGCCTGTTGGAGCTCTTGCAGAAGCCAACAAACCATGGCATATATTTTGCTTAGATAAAGCTTGCTTATGTTTGAAGTAATGGTATAAGTTACCGAGAGAGATACACTCTCTAGTCCCAAAACCAGGGTGTCATGCAAACCCAAAAACCCAACCTAACCTTTCCTACCTTCTATTTATTCCCTAAACAGGGGGGCAAGCCCCTGTACCCCCCATTTATGAGCAATTTGTGCCAACTTATAGAAAACAGACGTTATGAACTCTGGCTGTGTGAGGGTGTTATGTACTTCGTCCCTGTGAGGTGATACCCAGGGGATATTTTCCTTATTTAGCGGTAAATATGAGGCCGCTGCAGCTGTACCTCTGTTGTTTCTAACTCTATTTCTAATGCTCAATAAGATGGCAGTGTCCATTTCCCTTTATCCTGTGCATCACTCTTGGTAATTTATACCTAAGCTATGTATTATCAAGTATGAAACCAGCACATGCTCTGTTACTAGAATAAATGCTGTGGTTTGTTGGTTTTTACTAGAGCATTAAGCTATGGCAATCACTGTTATGTTGAACTGTGAATTGTTGTCTACTGTTACAGATCACTAAGTTTTAAGTGGGTATTGATGGGTAGTATAATAGATTCTCATTTAGAAAGTAATTCTGTCTTTTAAATCATAGCACTTATTCAAACTATAAGCATTTTGCAAGTACACTGATTTTTGCCATTCTTTGAAGTGATACATACAGAATATTTTATTTCATAATTTTTTCTTATATTATTACCGATTTCAGACTTCCCACTTAGTTTTCATGTAATTCTCATTAGAATAGAAAGAGCTGTAGAGAGGTGTAAGCATGTGAAATCTGCTGTCGATTATTCATTTTTTCCCCATACCTTCTGCATTTTTGGCATGTTTATTCTTTTATGACTGGATAGGGCTAGAACTATTCTGCATATATGATAGTCAAAAGTTTTGTATGAAATTTGTAGAAATGGTGAATGGTTGCATATGTCCCTCTAGAACAGGTTACATTTAGTTTACTGTATAATAGAAGCTTATAGAAAAATTTGATTTTGTTATGCTATTTTCAGTTTTGAAAGAACCTGGTAGATTATAATCAGCTTTGGACATATATATATATATATATATATATATATATATATATATATATATATAATATATAATATATATATAAATATTCATATAATATGTTGAACTTTCATAGTATTTTGTAAAAAGATATTTAAGGCTTTTTAATTACTCTCTTATTCTTTTTTTCTCTACACTCCCATTTCCTCTGTTTCCTAATTCTCTCTCTCTGCTCTCCCATTCAACCCATCTCCTTCCATTCCGTCTCTTCTTTTCCATCATTTCTCTCTTCTTCTCTTTTCTCTCATCTTCTCTCTTCTCTTTCCATCTCCCTCTCTCTTCTTTCTCTCTCTCTCTTCTCTTCCATCCATCCTCTCTCTCTTCTCTCTTTTTCTCTTCTCTCTTCTCTCTTATCTCTCATCTCTCTCTCTCTCTCTTCTCTCTCTCTCTCTTCTCTCTTCTCTTCTCCTTCTCGGACCTCTTTTTCCTTCTCTCTCTTTCCGTCTTCTTCTTCTCATTCCCATCGCTTCCTCTTCTTCTTCTTCTCTTCTTCGTGCTCCTCTCTCCTCTCCTTTTCTTTCTCTCTCTCTTATATCCTCTCTCTCCCTCCCTCTTTCTCTTCCCTCCTCTCCTTCTTCCTTCCTGCTCTCCATCCCTCCTCATCCTCCCTCCTCTTCTCTCCCATCCATTCCTTCTTCTTCCTCCTTCCTCATTCTCTCCCCTCCCTCTCCTCTTCTCTCCATCCATACCCTTCCCTTCTCTTCCTTCTCCTTCCATTTCATCTCTCCCTCCCTCCCTTCTCTTCCTCCGCTCTCCCTCCCTTTTCTTTTCCTCCTTCACATCCCTCGGTCCTAACCTCCCTCTCCTTCCTTTTCTATTCTACTCCCCTGCCTCTCACTTTGCCTTTCTTTCTCTGCCTCTCCTCCCTTCCTTTCCTTCTCCCTCCTCCCTTTCTTCTCTTCCTCCCTCCTCTTCTCTCTCCTCCTCCCTCCCTCCTCCCTTCCTCTCCCTCCCTCCCTCCCTTCCTTCCTTCTTTCTTCTTCTTTCCTCCCTCTCCTCCGCCCTTCTTTCTCGCGCTCCCTCCCTCCTTTTCTATCTCTTCCTCCTTACCTTTCTTCTCTTTTCCTCCCTCCTCCCTCCTCCCTCCTTTCCTTTCTCTATCCCTCCCTCCCTCCCTCCCTTCCTCTCCTTTCCCTTCCTTCCTTTCTTCTCTTCCTCCCTCCCTCCCCTACTCCCTCCCTTTTACTCCCTTCCTTTTCTTTCCCTGCCCTCTCCCCTGCTCCCTTCCTTCCTTTTTCTCATCTCCCTTCCCCTATCCCTCCCTCCTATCCTCCCTCTCCTCCCTCCCTCCCTCCTTCCTTTCTTCTCTCCTCCCTCCTCCCTCTTCCCTTCCTCCCTCCCTCCCTCCCTTCCTTCCCTCCCTTCCCTCCTCCCTTCCTTCCTCTTCCTCCCTCCTCCCTTCTCCTCCTCCCTCCCTCCCTCCCTTCCCTCCCTCCCTCCCTCCCTCCCCTCCCGTTCTCAACCTCCCTCCTTTACCTTTTTCTTTCTCTCCTCCCTCCCCCCTCTCCTCCCTTCCTTTTCTTTCTTTTTCCTTCCCTCCTCTCCTTCCTCCCTCCCTCCCTCCCTCCCTTTCTCTCTTCCTCCCTCCCTCCTCCTCCCTCCTTCCTTTCTTCTCTTACCTCCTTCCTTTCTTTCTTCTCTCCTCCTCCCCTCCCTTCCATCCCCCTTCCTTTCTTCTCTTCCTCTCCTCCCCTCCTTTCTCTCTCTCGCTCCTCCCTTCCTTTCTTCTCTCCCTCCCTCCTCCCTCCCTTCCTTTCTTCTCTTCCTCCCTCCCTCCCTCCCTCCCTTCCTTTCTCTTCTCCTTCCTTCTCCTCCTCCCTCCTCCCTCCCTCCCTCTCTTCCTTTCTTCTTCTTCCTCCCTCTCCTCTCCTCCTCCCTCCTCCTCCTTCCTTTCTTCTCTTCCCCTCCCCCTCCCTCTCCTCCCTCCCTCCCTTCCTCTTCCTTTCCTCCTTCCTCTCCTCCCTCCCTCCCTCCTCCTCCCTTTCCTCTTCCTTCCTCTCCTCTTCCCTCCTCCCTCCTTCTTTCTTCTCTCCTCCTCTCCCTCCCTCTTCTCCCTCTCTCCCTCCTCCTTCCTCTTTCTTCCTCTCCTCCCTCCTCCTTCCTCTCGTCCCTCCCTCCCTTCCTTTCTTCTCTTCCTCCCTCCCTCCTCCCTCCTCCCTCCCTCCCTCCTCCTCCTCTTTCCTTCTTTCCTTCCCTCCCTCCTCCCTTTCTCTTTCTTCTCTCCTCCTCCCTCCCCTCCCTCCCTCCCTTCCCTCCCTCCCTTCTTTCTTCTCCTCCCTCCCTCCCTCCTCCCTTCCTTTCTTCTTTTCCTCCTTCCCTCCCTCCCTCCTCCTTTCTTCCTTCCTCTCCCTCCCTCCTCCCCTTCCCTTTCTTCTTCTCTTCCTCCCTCCTCTCCTCCCTCCATCCCTCCCTCCCTTCTTCTCTTCCTCCCTCCCTCCTCCTCCCTCCCCTCCTCTTCTTTCCTCTTCCTCCTCCCTCCCTCCCTCCTCCCTCTTCCTTTCTTCCTCCCTCCCTCCTCCCTCCCTCTCCTCCCTCCTCCCCTCCCTCCTCCCTTCCTCTTCCTCCTCCCTCCCCCTCCCTCCCTTTCCTTTCTTTCTTCCTCCCTCCCCTCCTCCCTTCCTTTCTTCCTCTTCCTCCCTCCTCCCTTCCTTTCTTCTCTTCCTTCCCTCCTCCCTTCCTTTCTTCCTCTTCCTCCCTCCCTCCCTCCTTTCCTTCTTCTCTCCTCCCTTCCCTCCCTCCTTCTTCTCTTCCTACCCCTCCTCTTCTTCTCTTCCCTCCTCCCTCCCTTCCTTTCTTCCTCTCCCCCTCCCTTCCTTTCTTCTCTTCCCTCCCTCCCTCCCTCCCTCCCTTCCCTCCCTCCCTTCTCTTCTCTTCTCTTCCTCCCCTCTCTCCCTTCGCCTCCTCCCTCCCTTCCTTTCTTCTTCCTCCCTCCCCCTCCTTCCTTTCTTCTCTTCCTCCTCCCTTCCTTCCTTTCTTCTTTCCTCTCCCTCCCTCCCTCTCCTCCCTCCTCTCCCCCTCCCTCCCTCCCTCCCTTCCTTTCTTCTCTTCCTTCCCCCCCTCCCTTCCTCCTCTTCCTCCCCCTCCTCCCTCCCTTCTTTCCTCTCCTCCTCCTTTCTTCTCTTCCTCCCTCCCTCCCTCCCTTTCTTCTCTTTTCCTCCCTCCCTCCCTCCCTTCTCTCCTCCTCTCCCTCCTCTCCTCCCTTCCTTCCTTCCTTCCTTCCTTTCCTCTTCCTCCCTCCATCCTCCCTCCCTTTCCTTTCTTCTCTTCCTCCCTCCCTCCTCCCTCCCCTCCTTTCTTTCTTTTCCCTCCCTCCCTCCCTCCCTCCCTCCTTCCTTTCTTCTCTTCCTCCCTCCTCCCTCCCTCCCTCTTTCTTCTCTTCCTCCCCCTCCCTCCTCCTCCCTCCCTCCCTTCCTTCCTTTCTTTCTCCCTCTTCCTCCCTCCCTCCCCCTCCCTTCCTTTCTTCTCTTCTCCTCCTCTTCCTCCCTTCCTCCCTCTCCTCTTCCTCCCTTCCTTTCTTCTCTCCCTCCTCCTTTCCTTTCTTCTCCCTCCCTCCCTTCCTTCTCTTCTTCCTCCCTCCCTCCTTTCTTCCTTCTCTCCCTCCCTCTTTTTCCTTCCTCCCTCCTCCTTCCCTTCCTCCCTCCCTCCCTCCTCCCTCCCTTCCTTTCTTTCTTCTCCCTCCTCCTCCTTCCTTTCTTCTCTTCCTCCCCTCCTCCCTCCCTCCCTTCCTTCTTCTCTTCCTCCTTCCCTCCTCCCTTCCCTTCCATCCCTGCCCTCCTCCCTCCCTTTCTTTCTTCTCTTCCTCCTCCTCCCTCCCTCCCTCTCCTCCCTCTCCCTCCCTCCCTCCTTCTTCTCCCTCCCTCCTCCCTCCGTCCCTCCCTTCCTTTTCTTCTCTCCTCCCTCCCTCCCTCCTCCCTCCTCCTCCTTCTCTTTCTCCTTCCTCCCTCCCTCCTCCTCCCTTCCTCCCTTCCTTTCTTCTCTTCCTCCTCCTCCTCTCTCCTCCTCCCTTTCCTTCTCTCTTCCTCCCTCCCTCCCTCCTCCCTTCCTTTCTTCTCCTTCCTCCTCCCTTCCCTCCCTCCCTTCCTTTCTTCTCTTCCTTCCCTCCCTCCCTCCCTCCTCCCTTCCCTTCTCTTCCTCTCCTCCCTCCTCCCTCCCTCCCTTCTCTTTTCCTCCCTCCCTCCTTCCTTTCTTCTCTTCTCCCTCCTTCCCTTTCTTCTTCCTCCCTCCCCCCTCCCTCCCTTCCTTTCTCCCTCTCCCCTCCCTCCCTCCCTCCCTCCTTCCTTTCTTTCTTCCCTCCCCTCCCTCCCCTTTCCTTTCTTCTCTTCCTCCCTCGCTCCCTCCCTTCCTTTCTTCTCTTCCTTCCCTCCCTCCCTTCCTTTCTTCTCTTTCCTCCTCCCTCCCTCCCTTTTCTTCTCTTCCTCCCTCCCTCCCTCCCTTTCTTCTCTCCTCCCTCCCTCCCTTCCTTTTCTTCTCTCCCCTCCCTCCCTTCCTTCTTCCTCTTCCTCCCTCCCCCTTCATTTCTTTCTTTTCCTCCTCCCTCCCTCCTTTCTTTCTCTCCTCCCTCCCTTTTCTTCTTCTCCTCCCTTCCCTCCCTCCCTCCCTCCTCCCTCCCTTCCCTCCCTCCTCTCTCCCTTCCCTCCCTCCCCTTCCCTCTTCCTCCCTCCCTCCTCCCTCTCCTCTCTCCCTCTCCCTCCCTCCCTCCCTCCCTCCTCCTCCCTCCTCCCTCCCTTTCTTCTCTCTCCCTCCCTCCCTCCCTTTCCTTTCATTCTCTCTCCCTCCTTCTTCTTCTCTCCTCCCTCCTCCCTTCCTTCTCCTTCCTCCCTCTCCCTTCCTTTCTTTCTTCTTCCTCCCTCCCTCCCTTCCTTCTTCTTCTTCCCTTCTTCCTCCCTCCCTCCCTTTCCTTTCTTTCCTTTCTTCTCCTCCCTCCCTCTCTCCCTCCCTCCCTCTCTCCCTCCCTCCCTCTCTCCCTCCTCTCTCCTCTCTCCTTCCTCCCTCCCCTCCCTCCTCTCCTCCCTTCCCTCCCTCCCCTTCCTTTTTCTTCTTCTCCTCCCTCCCTTCCTTTTTCTTCTCTCCCTCCTTCCCTTCCTTTCTTCTCTCCCTCCTTCCCTTCCCTTTTCTTTCTCCTCCTTCCCTTCCTTTCTTCTCTCCTCCTTCCCTTCCTTTCTTCTCTCTCTCCTTCCTTCCTTTCTTCTCTCCCTCCCCCCTCCTTCCTTCTCTTTCTCCCTCCCTTCCTTTCTCTCTCCCTCCCCCCTCCTTTCTTCTCTCCCTCCCCCCTTCCTTCTTCTCTCCCTCCCCCCCTTCCTTCTCCCTCCCCTCTTCTTCCCTCCCTCCCTCTCCTCCTCCTCTTTCTCTCCCTCCTTTCCTTTCTTCTCTCCTCCCTCCCTCCTCTTCTCTCCTTCCTTCTTCTCTCTCTTCCTCCCTCTCCCCTCCCTTCTTTCTTCTCTCCCTCCCTCCCTCCCTCCCTCCTTCTTTCTCTCTCCTCCTTTCTTTCTTCCCTTCTTTCTTCTCTCCTCCCTTTCTTTTCTCCCTTCTTCCTCCCTTTCTTCTCTCTCCTCCCTTTCTTTCTTCTCTTTCTCTCTCCCTCCTTTCCCTCCCTTTCTTCTCTCCCTTTCTTTTTCTTCTTCCTTTCCTCCCTCCTTTTTCTTCCCTTCCTTTCTTCTTCTCCCTCCCTTTCTTTCTTCCCTTCCTTTTTTCTCCCTCCCTTTTCTTTCCTTCTTTTTCTCTCTCCCTCCCTTTCTTTCTTCCCTTCCTTTCTTCTCTCCCTCCCTTTCTTTCTTCCCTTCCTTTCTTCTCTCCCTCCCTTTTTTTCTCTCCCTCCCTTTTTCTCATCTTTCTCTCTCTCTCTGATCTCAGTTTGTTTGATATCAGTTATTCTTTGATATATTTAAAGTATGCTTAGATCTTTTTATGTGATTTGCAATGGTTGATTGATATGAATATATGCATTTGGAATGATTGTATTGTAGGTTTTCTGTGAAGATACCTAGTATGATTTTTATTGTTAGTGTGTTGCAGTTACATTTTTCATGTTTTTTATATTGATTGATATTTTCTGTGCAATGTGATGTGTTATTTACAGAATTTTTCAAAGATATAAAGTTCCAGCACTTTATGCTTGTGTTACTTTACATTTTTTATAAATTTCAGGCATTGATTGATGTCTGCCTCGCCTGCTGGTGCCACCGGGTCTGACTCTGTCCCCGTGTCTCCCTCAAACCCCCCCACCACCACTAGTCCCCCCTCGTCAGCGACCTCGACCATAGTGTCTGCTGGGTCGGCCCTCTCTCCCTCAAGCACCGCCACCAGCTCCCAACCGTCGACCCCGGTAGAGCCCCCTGTTGTGCGTGAGGTCAGGCCACACAACCCCAAAATGTCAAAGGCACTAAGCACCAGTGCTAAGAGGTCAGTTTTGGAAGATGCTTGAAGTCTTACCCTTGTATTTTCGTTATTTTTATGCAGTACTTAATTTCAATATCTGATGGTTACTTGTATATATAAAAGTGCATAGGTGATAAAGCATTACCATATATATTCCCCAAAGGAAGCCCCATTGAGTCTCATAGAAAATGTGAAAATTTAGAATTATTCTTACTGACATTTTAAGTCTGATGGTGACGTTTTGGGGCCACATGTTGGAATTGCCCAGGTACTGGCATATAGTCCTCACTTCCAATTCCCTCTAATAGGTACTTTTCACATTACTTTTGCCTTTTTCAGTGTTTTTTTTCTATGTCTCTGCCATTCAGTATTAGATTTGTTTTCTACAATGGTACACATTATATATACACATTGCCTTTATCAAATCTTCCTGGGATTTCCCAGTTGCCAAGGAGCACACATTGATAGTAGTACATGTAAGGAGTGCAGCTAAATCCAGTGAAATGACTCCCATTCTATTTGCATATGATGAGGCATCCTAAAGCAACTAAATGTATAATTACATACCTTACCGCTGGAGCTATCTGAACAGAGAATGTTAGGGATTAACATCAAAGACCACCAGCAAAAGAAATAAAATGCTACCTGTGGACAATTAAAATATCTTAGAGTGGTACAGCCATACCAAGGTTTTCAGGTGATTTTGATTATTGAGATATCAGTATTAGGGTGAAATTGGCTGAAATTTTTTGGTATTTTTCCTCAAAATTTTAAGATTTGGGAGGGTTATGGACCACCATTATGGGAAAGAGAAAAAGACAGATAGGAAAGTATTTATCCTATTACACCTTCCACTGGTTAGACATAAAGGAATTCACTTCAGTCTAACATTAAAAGGAGGAAAAACATTTTAAGAACATTTTTTAGTAAATGTCACCATCAGATAAAATAAGGTTTGCCGACAATACTTGAGATGCTGGACCAATATGGAATGAAGTAGTGATTGTACTGGTTTTCCATTATTTGTTAACCCTTGGTGTCTCACTAGTTAACCCACTACCGCCGGTATATTTTGAAACCGAGAATAAGTATCCGGGCTGCTATAAGCCGGCAGAGGCCGGCTGAGTCAGAGCACGATCCCCGATACGGTGTCACACAGGCAGGACACCCATTGTAAATGGGTTAAATGGCTAGAAAATGGACAGTAGCAGGGTGCCTCATATGTGAGACACTTGTGTTCTTGGATTACGCCTTGATTGGGTAAGCTTAACACCCACTATCCAGATAATGATATGGTCCTGTCATGGAAAAATCTGGATCAAGGCCGGATTAATGTGAACATGCTGTCATCGGGCAAAATGGCTACTGGTAGGGTGACACAAACTTGTTGGCATGAACAAAGGCCAGGGTGACGGAAAAGACTTGCCAAGAGTGCACAAACCTCTTGGAGTGTGATTTGACTCATTTGGCACTTAGAAGGGGTTTAGCATTATTCCCATCAATAAATGTAGGATGTAACATGCATAAGCTGTGACTGGAAGAGTGCCGGCTCCTGGCCGCTGTGACCAGTGGCGCAGGTTGTATTGCAGAAATTTGATAATTACCAAAAAATTAGATATATGACACATGACACGTTTTTTTTCTTTTACGAAGTTATTTACCACATAGATAAATGATATGGAATCTGTACAAGAAAAAGAATCTATTGCCATCTGGATAAAGCAAATCAAAAGACAATTATGGACTTCGAAAAATGGCAAAAGGCTAAAAAGGTTTACAAAAAATACTTTGCAAGGGGAAGGCACAGAGTTTTCTCACTGCTCATGAGTGTTTGCACACACCTGGCCCATGCACTGCAAGCCTGGGATGTTGGCTACTTACGAAACCCACTGCCCGTATTTTTGGCACTGTGATTTCTGTGATGGCCGGGATGATGTAAATGACTCTCCATGAACTTACAAGTTTTTAGAGGGTGAATAGACTTGTTGGGCATTTAGGAAGGGGCTTGAAAAATGATTGTAGATTGTTCAATCTGTGAGCCGTGACTAGGAAATTTTCAGCTCCAGGGAGGACACTGTTTCTATGCAACACAAGTTGTATTACAGAATAATGATTGTTATAAAAGAATAAAAAAGTACGAGTAACAAAATGTTACTTATTGTTGTAATTATTATTGCACTTGGTTATAGACTACCTGGAGAGATGAGATAAAATCTGTGCAAGGAAAATAATCTATTACCATTTGAATAAAGCAAATCAAATGACAAATTTAGACACTAGAAAGTGGCAAAAAATTGAAATGCATATGTAGAAAATGAAAACATGACTGTTTGTGTGTGCCTGGTCTACTTGCTGCACACCTACAGAGTGACTCCTTATATATGCCTAATGGCCATATTTTGGGCCACATGCAGGGATCCAAGGGGGTAGCAGAGACATCTTAGTTGAAATTGATCCAATCATTAAATTTGCTAAATAGTTATGATGATGTTATTACAATAAATGATCTCATCAGTGGTTTAAAGTGGTCAAAGTAGTAGAGGTAAATACTGGATGACAATTTAGGATGCAGAGTTATAAAGCAAATTTTAATATTGATAAAATAACTCTCAAAATGAAGAAAATGCTAAAGTAGTTGCATAGTCATACAATAATTTTGTCCTACTAAATGCTAGGTTAGGAAGATTTTCCCATAGATATTAAAATGTGGAAGGCCACCTTTGTTTGCATAGTTATCAGTCATTGGAGAAAATATTAGTGGGAAAAATTTCCTCAAAATTGATATTAGTTTTTATTCTTTTTATGATGTACCCAACAGATATAAGTTAGCATTTTTTCCATTATATCTACCCTTGGATGGTGCTTTGTGCCTTGCTTATGGAACAAAATCTGGGCATTAGGTTCACTTGAGTTGTCGACTCTTGAGTGTCTAGTCTTTAGGCCCAGCCTATACAACACTTGTCAACTCCTTGCCTCCTTTTTACAATGCTGTTTGCTCTTTCTGCAGATGAGTTTTTGCTTTTTTAAATTTTCCAATGGCTATATATTCATCAAAATGGTAATAATCAATTTTTGTTTAGCAGACTCCATGTTATACCTCAAGGTGGTATACAACTCTAAGCAATAACAGTAATAATAATAACAGTAATAGTAAGTAACTTCGTATTATTTGTTTATTTTTTATTATTATTATTATTTTTTTACATTATTTAGTTTCTTGTACCCCACCCTTTGCTCCCATGCATGGGAGGCCAGAATAGGTTTCTGTTCGATGAAATAGTGTCTTCTCTGGAGCTGATGTTCTCCCAGGCATGGCTAACCGTGGGCATTTAAGAAGGGGCTCTTGCATTATTTCCATCAGTAAGGGTGTGGAGTCTGCCATCTGTAACCCATAACTGGAAGAGCACTGGTTCCAGGAAGGACACTTATTTTCATGCATAAGATCCTCTTCATACCAACTGTGATGGATAGTGAAGGATGTATTATAGAAAATACTATGAAAATAAAAATAAGAAATTACAAAATGTTACTTATTGTTATTGCTACTGCAGAATGTTATAGACTGCCTAGGGAGATATGATATGGAGTCTGTGCAAATAAACATTCAGTTACAATCTTGATACAGCTTTTCAAATGACAGAGTGAAAAATAAAGCTAATGCAGAAAAAGAGCATTGTGATAGGGGGGCTGGACACAAATATTTTTCCACGTCTCTGGGCTGTAAGCCATACGTCCGGGAGAGTCCCCAATCAAGTACGCCAAATGCCTGGATTTTTTACCTTGTGTGGGCAGTGAGGCATGTGCATCCAGTGGGTTATTTCCCTACGGATAAAAACTTTTCATTATTATTATTTTGAAGCTTTGATTGTTTCATAAAGGTATGACTATTGTTTTATAGATTATTGGGCTTGTTTGTAGATGTGCCTTGTCCTGTTAACCCCTTAGTAATAGGCACACCTATAACCGTCACAACTTAATGACGTATGACATGTACATAATAATTTGCTCTAGTGAATGAGTGGGTGGGCCTGCTATATACAGCACTTGGCCAGCCAGAAAGGCTATACTGTTGCATAATTGTGACGGCATAGAAAATTCTAGCCCCGTCATTATAGGCTTCATGCTCTGAACTTGTTATTGTTGGATAATAAAGCATGGTATGTATTCAGCAATATTTGTAAATCTTGTTTACATGATAAAGCATGGTTTAATGAATGATGTCACTAGTCCTATAGGGACAATCATGCTGCCTGCAGATTAACCCACCCGCGCCGGGGTACATTAAGTGACACCCGAAACTGTTTATTTTTTCCTTGTGTCTCATATATGTGACACCCGGGACGAATGGGTTAAGGGGAAGAGTCGTCAGTATGGTTCTCAAATTACGATTTTTTCAAACTTTGTGTGTGGATACATGACCATGTGACACACCTAGGGCGCCGGTTGCCAGATGCATAACACGCTCCTTTCCGCGGTTTAAAGGTCTGGGGTATTTAAATGCCCTCGTGCTGCCACACCCCGTTTTGCTTCATACTTTGTTTTTCTTGTATTTTCATGTTTTTTTCGGCTGTTTATGCTAATTTCTTTGGTATGATACTGCTGTACGATAGTTTAGGCTGCGTTCAGCAGACAGGCAGCAGCAGCAAGGACGGAAGAACAGTGCGATTGATAAAGTTTTCTGGAGTACACATGTTTTGTTTTCAACTTGTTAAAAACCTAACAATGTCATTTATATATCAGAAATGCATAATATACGATTTATTATGTACTATGATATGTAAATGACAGAGGGACCAGGAGCCTTGACATCTGAAAGTATACTTTTCAGAGAACACCCACCTAACCTAACCTAACCTTGACATAAAGAGGACCTAAAATTACCTGAGCAACATTTAGAAGTTGGCTTTAGCATTATTCCCATTGATAAATGAATGTGGAATGTAATGTGCATAAGCAGTGACTAGAAGAACACTGGCTCCAGGGAGGACGCCATTTCCATGCTGCGCGCTGTATTCCAGGAATATATATTTTTTTCTTGCACTGAGCTATTTACTACACAGAGAGATGTGGAGTCTGTGCAAGGAAAATTTATAATTACCATCTGGATAAAGCAAATCAAAAGACAGATATGGACATTGGAAAATGGTGATAAAGCTAAAAAAAAAAAATTCACAAACTAACTTCTCAGAGGGGAAGCACTGAGTCTTATCACCGCTCATGGGTGTTCGTGCATGCCTGGCGTATGCTGGCCACTTACGTAAATATGCAACTGGATCCAGTGGGTTAATGAAGCCACGTGTTAGCAGAATGCTTTCAGGTCTGAATTAGATGAATATGGTTTATATCCTTTGATTTTAAAGAGACAAAAATGAATTAGCTTCTAAATTAGTCAAAATCTTCCACTTTTAGTTTATCGGTGCCCTATTCCCAAGGACCCATTACAGTCTTTACCTACTGACTATAGCCCTGAGTCTTATCACCGCTCATGGGTGTTCGTGCATGCCTGGCGTACGCGCCTATTAGAATTACACCAATTTTATCTAAGGGTTTTGAATGTCTGTTGGTCAAATGTCTTTATGTATATTTGAGACCATTTCTTCCAGAGACTCAGGCTGCAGTAATGCATTGTGTATGTTAGTGCATGAAATGTAGTCTTGTTTAGATAAATATCATGAGTCAATGATTTTAGTGTAGCTTTTGACACATGTTAATCAGAAGGGTTTCATTTTCAAGTTGCAGTATGTTGCTAGTAAATATGTGGCCCAGCATTACTAATAAAATGTTGACATATTCTGATGATACCTCTCTCTATGCTGCTATTTCTTTTCTGGCAACGTAGAGCTGATGATAATTCAATTGTGGTGCTCTCGGTGGAGCATGAAAATAAACCCTACCAAGTGCAAGGATATGATTTAGTTGGTCTAGAATGCAGTTGCCTCAGCATCCAAATCTGCTGATTAGTGAAGTGTTAATCACTTTTGTGGATCATCTGAAGCTCATAGGTGTATCCCTTGATTCAGGGCTTACATTAGAATTGCAACTTGGAAATATGGCCTGGGCAGTTTCATCTAAGTTAGGCATCATTCGCAAGTGCATAGATTTTAGATTCTTTTCTTTAATTCTGCCTCATTTTTTTTGTATTATTCTGTGTGGTTATCTGCTGTAGAGTCGCATTTAAGACTGCCAGATTGTTCTGTAATTTCCATTAAATTTCTCCTGTCTGCCTTAGATTTGGGTATTGGGCATTGTAGGGATATTGGGGTACTTTGTTTTATACAAGACTGTAACAGATAATTCACATCCCCTTTAAGTTTTCACCTGATTTTTATCAACCTGCAAGAGTTACTAGAAGTTCTACAACCCTCAATTCAATGACTTTTGAGGCAAGTTGATTGTCTACATCACGGTTTTCTAAATACTTTTTTACCGCTATTTGTAAGCTTTAGAATAGAAGACTGTGACTTCTGTGAATCTTGAGAAGTTTAAAAGATCAGCTAATGTCTTTACTATGGTAAATAACTTATGATTTTTTATCTTCTCTTTCTTTTTTAGCTGTATTTTGACGTGCACTAACACATAGGAGGTATAATTCACAATTTTTTTCAGTGTGGTTTATATGGCTTTCCATGATTAGAGCAACAACAACAACAAAAACAACAAAATGCTTTCAAAAATGGGAAATCATGGGGCCAGGCAATAGGCTAATGTGGCCAAAAACTCCTATAATGTTGATTATAATGTTCAGAGCACACATGTATAGGCTTAGATGTACATGGATATCCAAATATATGTCTACATGATGTGCATGTAGTTATATCTTTGTTTTCAGATAATTTTTATTTGATCAAATTTTGAATTAAAGGGTTTTCAGGCTGTTAGTAATGCTGTATAATTTTGACACTCAAGAGTCATGCTGTTTTTAATATTACTTTGAAAGTCTAATACAATCCTCTTACTTTCAGGATACAAAAGGAACTCGCAGAAATTACACTGGACCCCCCACCCAACTGCAGTGCTGGGCCCAAGGGAGACAATCTGTACGAATGGGTGTCAACTATCCTGGGTCCGCCTGGGTCCGTTTACGAGGGTGGGGTCTTCTTTCTAGATATCCATTTCTCAGCAGAATACCCATTCAAACCACCTAAGGTATACAGCTCAGTGTGTTTAGTGTTTATATGGTTAATTGTTACTATTTAGGAGGATAATCTCTGTAAATGGCAAAGCATTTTAATTATGAAATATTTTGATTGCTTATGTGGAAGGATCGTCTTGCTGGTATATTGATTTTAAATTGAGACGGGATAAAAATTACTTCCTTTTTTATATGAGAATCTTTAAATGAATGTTCAGTTTCATTGTATGACAGCAATTCCCCCCCACCCCCCATCATTCTTTCTTTCACCCTTGTCTCTATTTTGACTTTCACTTTTTTCTAATGAATATTTCCTACTTACTGCATACTCTGTCTTTTTGCTCCACATATTTGCATTTACTTAACTCCTATGATACAGCTGACATTACGGTCCTGTCATGGAAAAATCTGGGGTGAGGTCTGGGTGATGTAAATATGCCATCATAGGCCAGGGGTGCGAACCTGCCATCATGAGTGAAGGTCATGGTGATGGAAAAGACTCGCCACGAGTATACAAACCTCTTGGAGTGTGATGAGACTCATTTTGCGCTTAGAAAGGGGCTTTTGCATTATTCTCTTTGATAAACGAATGTGGAATGTAAGCCGTGACTGGAAGAACGCTGGCTCCAGGGAGGATGCCATTTCCATGTTCTATATTGTATTCCTGGCAGCTGTGACTGATGGTACAGGTTGTATGACAGAAAATTTAAAATTGTTAAAAGATATGTGACAAATAACCAAATATTACCATTTTTTTTCTTAGTGAATTATTTACTACATAGAGGAATGATACGGAGTCAGTGCAAGGAAAATAATCTATTACTATATGCATAAAGCAAGTCAAAAGACAAATATGGGGATTGGAAAATGTCAAAAAAGCTAAAAAAAATTACACAAACTTACTTTGTAAAGGGGAGGCATAGACTTGTCACTCCTCACGAGTGTTTGTGCATGCCTGGCCTATGCGCTACAAACTAGAGTTATTGGTAACTTATGTTGCCTGTATTTTCGGCATTGTGATTTTGTGATGCAATCAGATCTAACATCTTAAAAAGACGGTTTACCTTATTTTGTATGTACACTTTTTCCTTCTAGTTTTCCTTCCCTCTTTTTTTTCCTTCTAGTTTTCCTTCCCTCTTTCCTAACTTTGTGGACTTCAGTTTCACTTAACCAAGGTATTTTTCCTCCTTCGCTTCTGTTTCTATGTGCCCTACGTTATATCATATAGGAAAATTTTTCCAACAGGTCACGTTCCGCACACGAATTTATCACTGCAACATAAACTCCCAAGGAGTGATATGTTTAGATATTCTTAAGGATAACTGGTCTCCAGCCCTCACTATCTCCAAGGTTCTGCTGTCCATCTGCTCTCTTCTTACAGATTGCAATCCAG